TCTCTCTCTCTCTCTCTCTCTCTCTCTCTCTCTCTCTCTCTCTCTCTCTCTCTCTCTCTCTCTCTCTCTCTCTCTCTCTCTCTCTCTCTTCTTTTAGCCCCCCTTCTACTGTGCCTCTCACATACAAGGCTCGCCATGTTGATGTGGTTGAGCGCAAGCTGCCTACAACAGCCCACTCGCATGCTGTGACAAAGAGGCAGAGTAAAAGAGAGGGGTAAAGAGATAGGAAGGTGGAAGGAAGACAAAGGGAAAATAACGAGTGTGGAATGAAGATGTGAGCATAGGAAGGACAAGAGGAGACTCAGGAGTGGGTTGTCCTTCACGACAGCAGAACATGAACGGTAAGGATGAGCTGGGTGATCACACGGAAGACCTAGCTGAGCATTTCCAGCACATCAGTGGCCAGGACGTCTGGCATTAAGCATGCCCACCAAACACCGCCAACAAATGGCTAACAGGAAGAAAAAAGGGGCATAACAGAAAACCATGCATTCATTATAACGTTACTGCACGCAAATGGACATTTGCTGTCCAGATGCGAAGGGTGCACACGCTCATGAAAGGAGGGGCAGCCCTCTACACACACATGCAGAACCCCGGGCATTGTAGTGATTGTGGCAGACACAATGACGCCTGCAGCCGGCTGTAAAGTGTCTGTAGCTGTGCAGAGGAGAAGGTCGAAGACCGTTGACACGTTGTCCTGATGGGGCAAAGTTGCAGAAAAGTGATCCGGCGTCAATCAGGATCATAAAAGAGTGTGCAGATGGGATGCTGATGCAAGAAAACATCATCGTCGCAAATGAGATCGCCGACGTCAATCATGGAATAGACCATAGTGTCGTTGTCCCACAACTCCCCATGGTGAGAGGTGTGAACAATGGCCATGTAATGGCCAGCAGGTCGTGCACGGCAGAGGAAGCTGTAGCAGCAGAAACTGCAGCAGTGAAAACTGCAACAGAGGAAAAACTACAGCAGTGGAATTGCAGCAATGGAAACTATAGGCCTATCCAGCAGAGGCGAGACGAGGGCTTCGTGGGGGTAGGGAAGAACGTGGACGATGGAGGGGCCATCATATCATGTGCTGGAACCACTGAGTGAGACACATTGCATGCATAAGATAGTGGCGCTAATGAGAGCGCATGTCTGCCGATCCATCCCTGAGCAGCATCGGTGGGGAATGCCCACGAGAAAGTACGCAGCCAGCAAGTGATGTCACCAAAGTTTGAAAGCCCCACCAATTGTTACAGATCCATTCAAATTTGGTCAATCACCCCCAGTGAACACACCAGCTGTTTGATAGGAAGGCATGTTGGAGGTCGCACTCGGGTAACGAATGACATGGAAGTCCCAGGCAGCCGCTTTATCAAAGACACTCATGTGAAGCGAGCCATCAGAGCAGACTCGTAGCTACATACCTAAAAAGGTACAGGAGCCATCTGGCAGTGTCAGGTGGTAGTGCTCAGGTAGAGGAGGTAATTGCCCCATGAAAGAACGGCATCAATGAGGCCACAAGTGAAAACATATTGCTGAGGGGCTCGACGATCACGCTTACGAATGTCATTAACAAAGTGAGCTTCATCCCCATTTAACGTCAGATTGGAAAATTATGGGCCAGCAATAGTTCCCACTGGAATGTGGAGAATTTGATTCCGAACGCATGCCATCTGCACAGATTCTACAGTGTATAGAGATAAGTGTTATGTATATAACATAACAGAGCAAAGATGTAGGAGAATCTGAGAAATTTAAGGGCGTCATCCATGCCATGACCATTGGAGTTATGGATCTAGTCTTTATGCCTCCTCCCTTGTCGAGCTGAAGTGAAAAAGTATTGTCATATCTAATGACTAATAATATATCTTTCAAATGAAGTGTACGCTGTACACGCAGAAAGAGCATCCTTCCTTAAACATCCAGTGGGGAAAAGCTTCTCCATAATTATCTAGAAGTCTACGATGGATCATAGCAAGAGTATGATGATTCAACTTACCACAAATGAGATCATACTATCATCATAGTGAATTTTTGCATGAATCCGCCGTCCAACCATGAATCAGCTGTTCATTGGCCGCAATGAGGCCCTCGATCACCATGTTCAAGGCATTGCCGCATGGACGCTCATAAGAATGAGGTTCGTCAGCAACTTTTGCTTTGTTATTCAGAAAATGCAATCGTGAGGAAGGCTGGTTGACATCCTCATAAGAAATTCATTATGCGAGGATAGAGGGCATGAAGGGAAGATGTTTTTTTTGCGTTTAACGTCAAGGGCCACTTCTTCTTTGGCACTCTTAAAAAGTCCAGCACACTATCGAACACCCACCTGTTGATAGAGCTCAGTGTCTTTCTCACAAAGAGTAGAGATCACTCCTCCTTGCAAAGCTGCTCGGAGATACAAATCTGTAATCGTCATACTAGCCCACAAGTGGTTAACAGGGACCCCCACTTTTGGTTTACAAGGGGTGGGAGGTTTGTTATAATTTATAGAGACCCTGAAAAAACGCTGAAAATTTGGGCCCGACTCTGTAAACCGTTTCTCTGCTAGCCAGTGGTTAGTGAGGAGGCTGGTCATGCATGACATGAACTGTTGGAGACAAGGGTAAGCTTCTTGGGGAACAGACATTGTTTTTCGTTGCGACTCTGTGAATGCTGTGAAGAGACGGAGGAGGTTTTTGAGCTTTGGGAACATAGCGCAGCAGAGGTAAGGTAGCATATCCGTATGGGTGTAACCCCAATGGTGATTGGGTGTAAGTTCCGTGTCACCCCAATGGTTACTCCATGTTGCATGGCTGCCATAGACATCGGCAGCAGATTCACGAGGGCGGGTATAAGTGGGACTGTCCAGATGCGTGGATAGATTAAACAAATACAAATTCTTGCAGCAAATTTTCGAATTATGCGATGGTTCGTCCACAGGGGCAATGACAAAATGCTGTTCGAGATGGTGCATGCAAGGAGGCATGTGTGCAATGAGGTGAGCGTCACCTGGTCACACAGCAAGATGATGAGGATGCATTGGATTGACCATGCGTGACGAGTGGCCTGGGCTACCAGCTGGGCCGCCCAGGTCACTTGCTTCACCGAGCGGCCCGGCCGTGCGAGAACCAGCGAAGCGCCCAGCAGGGGAAAAAAAAGAAAAAAAAACTGGAAAAACTATGTGATTGCACAAAATTAAACTGAACAACTTTTGCATCAGGGTTACATCCAAATTCTTCACCAAATTCGAAAAAAAAGAAAAAAACTTTAAAAAAGATATTTAAACCATCATATTTTTTTAGTTTTTGAAATTGGTATTTATTTTTTGCCCAGCCGGGCAACTTGCCCCAGGCCACTCTGGTAGCCTAGGGATTGGCAGAATGCCGGCTGTTGAACTTTTGAGAAACACACGAGGAAGAGGACCAGAGGACATATTCGCAAGTCAACCAGAGGACCAGAGGACATATTTGCAAGTTGACCAGAGGACCAGAGGACATATTTGCAAGTTGACCAGAGAAGCAGAGGACATCGTTGCCAGTGAGAGAAAGGCGCATTGCAGGAACTCTCTGCACAGGTGAGCTTCGATTCTTAAAAATTTTAATGCTTCATCGAAGCAGTTCTTCAACTTTCACGAGCTGCTTTCAGGCATAGCCTATTCTAAGAAACATGTGTGAAAGAGAGAGAAAAAAAAGTCGAACAGGAGGGAATAACCCTTCGACAGGGCAGCGCAAATACAATCAAGGGGGGAGAAGGACAACACTGGGCCATCATTCATAAACATGACCCCATGTGTGGCAGCTGAAAATGGTCGATATGGTGTGCGATTCAAGCACCTGGTTTTGCTCATTTACAAGGGCTTGATTTTATGTCGAAACATCACACACACACACACACACACACACACACACACACACACACACACACACACCAAACACACGAAAACTGAGGACAATCATCACAACGACAATCTCAGCAACTGCAACTACAAAAACCACAGCCATCAGCACAGCCACGGCCACGACAGCTATAACCAACCAATAACTGCCACCCACCAGTTGCTACAACTACTACAACCAGGAACGGAGAAATTGAGGAGGGAGTGGAAGAGCAACACGAAGAGGAAGAAAGACAAAAGCGAGGAAGAAGAGGAGAACGAGGAGGAAGAAAAAAGAAGAAAAAGGAGTAGGAAGTGGAGGAACAAAGGGTGTTGAATCCTGTTGATTGATATACACAGCCAGACGGCGGTTCTGCAAAGAAAGAGGAGGGAGAAGAAAAAGTGGAGGAAGAGGAGGAAAAGGAAGAGGAAGTGGAAACAAAGGAGGAACATGAGGAACAGGAAGAACAGGAAGAAAAGGAGGCGGAGGAGAAAGAAAGGGAGAAAGAAGAGTAGCAAAAGAGGAAGAGGAGAAAAAGGCAGAAAAAAACAAAAAAGAAGTGGAGAAGGAAGAGGGAGAAAGGGAGGATGAGGTGGAAGTGGTGGACGAGGAAAAGGAGGAAACGACGTAAAGGAGGAAAAAGAGAAACAGAGGAAAAAAAATAAAAGAAGAGGGGAAATAGGAACCGAAAAAAAAAAAAAAAAAAAAAAAAAAAGAGGAAGAAGAGGACGAAGCGGAAGAGAAGAAAGTGGAACAGGAGGAAGAGCAGCAGAAAGAGGAACAGGAGACTACTGCCTTGAGTCTTAGGCTTGCAGGACACAACTGATCACCTGCACGAAGAGTGGACAGCTGTGAGCGTACCTTGTCCTCGGTCAGGATGTCCAGTAGCAACTGGAGCTTGGGCAGAAACACGCACTGGCACTCCCTGGCTATAGCGATTCTCATGGCCTGGATAGGAAACGGCACACATGGGACAAAATAACGATTTCAAATTGCGATTCCTCTCATCCAGTAAAAAAGTGGCACATTGCATTGATGGCAGCACTTCAAACTCCCGAGTCCAGAGTTCATTCGGTGAGGTATTTAAGACAGTATATTACTGTATTTGGCTCATGTGCCTTACGTGACTTATGCGCCTCTTATGCGCCTCTTCCTGTCCCTCCTCATAGATAGAGCTCCACATAGAGCAGAGAGTAGCGCTGACAACTTGACAGCATCTATGTGAAACTGTTTCCACATTCCAGCGAAGAGGGGGGGGGGGTGTCAGTCAATAGAGGATCACAACTTCACAAGTCAGTTCCATCGCTCCTTTTTCTTTTTTTCTGCCTCGCAGCAGCCGACGAAGCATCCCATTTTCCTTTTTCTTGACAAGTTCATTGCTAGCAAATGTTTGGTATTTGATGACCAGGTTCATCCCACCCAGGTAGACGGCCTGTCCGGCTCACCTCAACTCAATTGGGGGAACCCACCTCATCCCTCCAGAGTCAATTTTGACCAGGTTCATTCCTCTGTGCATATGAAAGAAGTTCAAAGAACAGATTAGACTCAATATTGCAAATCGCCCAAAGACCAACGGCCCTCGCTCAGTTGGTAAACCCATGAACTGTTGAAATTACAGACCCAAGTTCGAATCCAGACGCAATATATGTTTAGATTCCTTTAGAACTGCATACCCCTATAGTATGAACAGAAACAAATCTCCCAAAGACCCACTCAAAGAGCTAATGCGGACTTCCTGCCCTGTTGGCCTGGATGGTACACATATGTGACTATCTGTTAATCAACAGACCAGAGTTCAAGTCCTGATGATGGGCGATTCAATAATGTTAGGCGCCATGCCCTTATTCCAAAAACAAACAAACAAACAAACAAACACGTCCTTCTGCACATACGTCCAAAAATCGAAACGGTACAGAGAAGATCATCATGGCCCCGGCGCACTCAAGGAGGACATGCATAAGTCGCGAAATGGTCCAAATGTTCACAAGGATGACACACAGAAATCAAGAAATGGTTCAAAAACCTTTGACGCAAAAAATAACTAACAAATAAATAAATAAATACATTGATGCTGCAACGAAGATTGTGTTCAGGCCATGGTAACCGGCCGGACGTCTGGACCGGCATCCAGACAGTCGGGAACAATTTGTAGGGGTCCGGTGTCCGGGCCAGGATGTCTGGAAACACCCCCCCAAGTTCCCCAACCGAAAATTCGAAGACAAAAAAAAGGGGCTGGCCAGATGTTTTTAGGGTCCTGGGCGCCCCCCAAAAAATACCGGGGCCATTTTTTGGCCTCTTTTCAGCCAACCGGACAGGACCTACAGGTCCACAAACAGTCACAGCTTACAGAGTTGTTTGAGGTTGGGTGGCAGGCGGGAGGGCACGCAATTTCGCATCAGCCGTTTTGGAAATCCCGCCCACTGCTGCTGCCCATTTGGAAGTCCCACCCGCTAGCTGGCAAACGACACAAGACATCCCACTGACAAGAGAGAGAGAGAGAGAGAGAGAGAGAGAGAGAGAGAGAGAGAGAGAGAGAGAGAG